AACTCGCAGAGCCCAGCCAGGCTGCCCTCCAGCCAGCCCCGCAGCCGGCCCCGCTCGGGGCTCACCGGGAACGGGAAGGCCCGGATCATGGCTGCGGCCCCCCACCCCAGCCCAGCCGGGCTCCGCGGCCACCCCTCTCCCGGTCCCACCTCCCCGCCCCAGCAGCCAGCCTGCCCGCCCGCCCGCTGGCCGGGCTGTCACCGTCTCATCTACATAGACGCCCGCCCATTGGGCCGCCCACCGGCGCCTTATCTGCATGGCCACGCCCCCGGAGACAGAGCAACCGCCGCCTATTGGTTGGTACCCTTCCTGACGAAGATGCTCGGCCGTGCACCCGCACCGCCCAACACGACGCATGCTCGCAAGCTGCCTACTCACTCTGCCTAAGGGCGGCCTCGCCACGCCCCGCCGCGCGCCTGCCTCTGAGCCCTGGCCACGCCCCCCAGCGCGTCACAATGAAACAAGTCCGCCCTTGCTGCGGTGCCATTGGCCCGTGCCTCCCAGTGAGGCAGCTGGTTCCGCCCTCTTGCGGGAGAGCTCTTCCTACCATTGGGCTGTCTGGCTGGACGGGCAGGGTGATATATAAATAGAGAACGGGTCCACGTGACAGTTTGGCAGCTGCTCCTAAGCCCCTTCCTAACCTCCAGCTTAGGCTGCGCAGGTGGAGGAAAGGGTTAGAGGGTCGAGCCCTGATTTCGCCGTCTCTTCCCGGAAGGCTTCGCACTCGGCTGTAAAACGAGGATGACGCCCTCTGATAAAACTACGCTTCCAAGCAGGGCCGGCCTCGAGGGCGTGGGGCCCTCTCAGAAGAGCCCCAGCACTTGGTTGAATGTTCTGCTAATGCTGTCTTGAAATTCTTATTTTTTGAGAAAGGGGCCCCGCATTTCCATTTTGCACTGGGCCAGGCGAATTCTGTAGCCGATCTTGCTTCTAAGAGTCTAATATCGGTTTTATCCCAAATTCTGAATTATAAGGCCCTCGGTGGAACATTCTATGATTTGCTCAGAACAGAATCTAAGCGTCTTTTGTTTCCCAGGTGCTGTGAGGCTATGTTGCTCACCATTCTACGATTCCAGAGGCCTTTGTTCTACGTTCTAAGAGGCTTTCTTCTCAGCCTTTTAAGATGCTCTGTTCTCGACGTTCTGTGGTCCTAAGAATCGGAGCCTGACAGTTTCCAAGGCTTCCTCCTTCCTCCCCGGCTATGCCTGAGGAATTGGCGCCCCCTCAGGCGGTCAGCCAGTGCCACTACGCCCAGTGTGCCTCCCTGCCACCTTCAAGATTTAGCTCCAATATTCATACCCGTTTCTCAGACAGACCTTGACTCCCTAAAAGCCAGGGCCCGGAAAATCATGCAAGAACTTCCCTCGTTTGTGACTCCCCTGTGCACTAAGTGACCTTCTGGTGGTGAGATGGAAAGACAGAGATAGTGGTTGAGAGCAGTCTCCAGATCCAGAAGGCCTGGGGGTGAGTCACACCTCTGCCGTTTTTCAGCTATGTGACCTTGGGAAGCTTACTTAACCGCTCCATGACTCAGTTTCTTCATCTGCATAATGGGGTCATAATACTATCTACCTCACAGAGCTGTTCTGAGGATTGAGATATTTGTCTGGTACTTGGAGCAGTGTCTTCCAAGTATAAAGAGCCATAGAAAGGTTTTGTTTTTTTTTTTTCCTCTTTGTCTTTTTTCGTGACCAGCAACGGATCGCAACCCTCAGTGTCGCGCCCGTACCGGACGGGGACCGGCCACGGGATCGCAACCCTCGGTGTTGCTCCCGCCCCTCGCTCAGCCAGTGAGCGGCCGGTCTGCATGCGGGATCCGAACCCTCGGCGGGAGCACCACTGCGCTTCCCAAGTGGCGCACTATAGCAGTGCGCCACCAGGCCGGCCCGAGCCATAGAAAGGTTTGACAAAAATAAAAAAATAATCTAGTGAGTCACAACAAGAAAAATTAGTTGAACTTTAGGAGAGACAAACTTTATTCAGCCCTCCTCTTGTTCAACACAGACCTATACTGCCTTAATTTTCCAAAAATAAGGAGACAGTCGAATATTGATGATAGGAATCTGGAGAGCTCACAACAAGATTTGTGTGTTTGCGTGTGTGTGTGGCTGGCTGGTATGGGGATCCGAACCTTTGACCTTGGTATCAGCACCATGCTCTTCCAAGCAAGATTTTCAAAGTAGCAGTGTCTGGGGTGAAATCAAGATTGGTTTTTCATCCCTGATGCTTGTACAAGACGACTTAAGTCATTTGCTGAGTAGATTATTGAATCTGGAGCTAATTTAGGGCTCTGGTCACCAGGCATTTAAAGATGGATATTCCTAGGAATGTAAGTAAAAAAGAATAAGGGAACAAAAACCAATATTTGAGGGCAGCCAGGCAAGATGATTCCAAGAAGCAGGTGAAGAAACATGCTTCATTGGTGGAATCAGCAGAGCCATAACAATTTTGAAGATTTCCTTTTAGACCTCCTGTTGTTCTTGATGACCATTGGTGTTGATGATGATAATTTTGAAAGAGTTCCTGGAAATGAACATGTAACAGTTGCTTCCAAACATGACACACAAGATAGTTCCAGTCAAGATGGCAGAATAGACAGTCCCCAGTATCACTCTCTCACACCAATCAACCAATTTACAACTATAAAAATGTAAGAACAGCCAAGCTGGGGCCACTGGCACTCAGGGGAAGAGGAGGAGAGACCTACGGAGTTCATGAGGGGGAGAAGCCATGATGAGGGAAATAAATAACTGCTCAGAGCATTTTGAGTAGTGGCCACTTTAAGGCTGGAGCTGCTGAGTGCATGGAGCAGGAGCCCGCAAAAGTTGTAGCTGTGTCCTTTGGGTGGAGTTGCTTGGAGGCAGCAGGAGAGAAGAGAGGCTTGGTGGGCCCCGGGACAGCAAGACCACTAATAGGGTTCCCATGGACCCACACAGGAGCAAGGAGCCAGAACAGCTAAAAAAGGGGAGCCATTCAGAGGCCAGTGAGTCATCTCAAGGGACCGACCCAGGGCCCATCCCATGGGAAGTGTTTGGAGCACAGATGATGGGGGAGATGGGCCCACCAGGAGAACATGGGCACAGCAAGGACAGCTGATCCACCCCCCAATCAGCACAGGACCACTCAAAGGAGACTGATCAGGTATGCAGAATTGCATGGAGTGCAGTTTGATGAAAAGATTCAGGCTCAGATCAGAGTTTCTACACAACCCAGGTGCACCCAGTTTCTGGAGAGCCAGAAGTACCTATAAGGTCAACCATTAAGCCCTGAGCTACACAAAAATCTCTCCTACAAAAACAACAGCAAAGCAGCAATTTAGCTCAACTGCAGAGCTCAAGTACTGGTTCCCACAGGAACTTCCCCCATTTAGAAGTAAGCTAAGCACAAAAAATTAGTTCTGGCCCAGGCACACCACCAGTACCTCAGGCTGCCAGGGGACCTGAGGTCTGGAACTAGGGACCAGATCCCCCACCCACAATCAGGCACATCACCAGCACCAAGGAGCGTACCAAAAACATCACCTTCATGTGGGTGGCCCACCACAGCCACCACAGAAACCATGGCTGCCTTGAAAGTGGCTAGACATCACAACCACCATGCAGATGGTCCACCAGCCACTGGAGTGCATTGACACAAGGGGAGTCACCAGCAGAGACCAAAGAAAAGAATAGCATGTCTCTCTCCACAAAGCCCATTCCAGAGTGACAGAGGAAGCATCTGCTCTATGATAATATTTGGGGACCTGAACACACCTTTCAGAATTGGACAGATCATCTAGGCAACAAATCAACAGAATAACCATTACTCTTTCAGAGGGAGAGAAGAAATCTAGGGTTATAAGTGGTGGGAGTGGGGAGGGAGAGGGGGATAGGGAGAGATTGGACAAGGGGCATAAGGAATAAGTACAATTTGTAACAATATGCATACTAGTAATACTGATTTGATCAACATATATCAACATTGGATCCAAGAAATATGTATAATTAATTATGATTCAATTTAAAAAAGAAGAAAAGAAAAAAATGAAAATAAATGAATAATAAAAAATAAAATCCTATAAGCAATATAATATAAACAAAATAAATAAATAAATACATGTGCATGGGCTTATAATGTATAAAGATGTAATTTGTATGACACTAAAAGCACAAAGGAGGGAGGAGGGAAAAAGGCTATATAGTAGTAATGTTTTTGTATACTACTGAAATTAAGTTGGTAATAATCTAAACTAGATTGTCAAAAATTAAGGTGTCAATTGTAATCCCCAGGACAACCACTAAGAAAATAACCAAAAATATAATAAAATAAGTGACAAATGGGTTAAATGATAAGAAACAAACAAATGAACAAACATGATACACAAGTTCTTCCTCTGGAAGCCATGTGTCCAATGCCAGCCGATCATGAAGGACTGCTTGCTGTGTCTCCTGAAGTTTCCTGGCCTGGATGAGACTGTCAACCATGTTAGTCACCTCTTAGAAGAGTAAAGCATGAAAGATGCTATTGTCACGGCAGATTTCTTGGGTAGCCCAGACAGCAGTGCCCTGTATAGAAAAGTTGCCCAAACATAGCTGGACGCCATACTTAAATCCTCAAAGTTTACTCCCAAGCATTTGTCTTCTTGTTCCAATGCCTCTTTGTATCCTAATGAAAAAGGAAGATCACAGTCATATTGGGTCTTTTGTCTGTAACTGTAGCATATGCAAGGTTCGGCAGATCTCTTACATCTATGAGGAGTCGGGGAATGAGTCCTGTTACCAGTCTACATGCAGGAATGTCTCGTGATAAGTCCTGTTACAGGCATGTGTGTGTGAAGGCTGCTTCTTCACAGCCTCCCCTGACTACATTTTGTTAGAGTTTGACATAAGTGACTCCATTTTGATACCAGCAACTTTCGCAATAGAATGATGGGAAATCAAAAATCTGATAAGAGCTAATGACATTGGGAAGATAACAGGAGTCAGTCCAGCTGGTAGGCAGATACCAGTATGCCAAATCTCCACAATGAAGTATGCATCACTGGGAGCAACCCAAGCCTTATGGGAGTAATTGTCTAATTTATTTGAATGGTCATAAAACAAATGTTGAGGGGCTGGTCAATTAGCTCACCTGGGAGAGTGTGGTCCTGATAACCCCAAGGTCATGGGTTTGGATCGCCATATTGGCCAACCACAAAAAAAAAAAAAAAGTAAACAAATGTTGATTAATGGTGGAAAACCAAGGAGAAGATGCAGGAACCCAACTGGGATTATGAGATGAGTCACAATAGGAGTAATGCCATTGATATCAAAACAAATTGTCAGCAGCATCAATTGGTAATATTTTGCTAACTGGAAAAACGAAGAAAGCCCAATGAT